GCGCCCCGGAGGTTGGATGCGAGAAAGACCCGTTCTTAAGCTGCTCTGGTGCCCCTGGTCTGCTGGAGACCGTCTCCAGCAGACCAGGGGCACCGGGTGGTTCCCGCACTTCTGAGGCTTTGCCCTGGCAAAGCCTCAGAAGCGCGGGAACCCGCCCGGTGCCCCTGGTCTGCTGGAGACGGACTCCAGCAGACCAGGGGCACCGGAGCAGCTTACGAACAGGGCTTTCTCGCCCCGGAGCTCGCAGGTAGCAATCCGCCACCTCGACCTCCGGGGCGAGAGAGCCCCGTTCGTAAGTGCGGATCCGACATAAGTCGGATCCGCGTAAGTCGGGGACTGCCTGTATACTGTGCTGTATCTGGGACCTCCCCTCAGACCTGTTCATTTTTTGGAGACCATATCAGGAGTATTAATCTCCCAACAGCATAGCTCTTTGGAACATGCAAGCCCCTTTACCACAATTGAGTGGTAAACTGGTCCCCAAAATGGGCCTTGATGTAGCATAATTTAAATGGTAAAGATTGTTTGTAGAGAGACTTGGATTCTTAAACACTTTTTTTTTCATGCTGGAGAAGCCTGTGTAGACACTCGCTCCAAAACTGTGCTGTTAATTTTTCTACAGTCTTTGAGTTGAGTGCTAGTTCCTAGGGCTTAATAATGTTTCCCTTTTATTTCTGGTATCGTCTTGAAAATTGTAACTTACTGAAATATGAAGGTTTTTTGGTCTGACATTTTATGAAGACAGCCTGATGTTTCTGGCTGTCAGGTCAACAAAATTTGCTGTGAATTTATTTAGTGGAATGATAACAGGGAGGCATAATCTGTTTGCCTTTACTTTTAAGGTTTTAACAGCATATACCTTGCCTACCTATCTCTTTCAACATCCAAAGGCTTGCACACCTGCCTCTGATCAGCCAGATGTCCACTTCCATTCATCATTTGTTAAAATTTCAAGCAAGCTATGGAATTCTGCCTGGATGGGAAAAGGGCTTCCATATCATATGTCAATTGTAGCTGCAAGGTTTCTTCAGATGGGGGAGAGTTTTGTCTGAGCTTTTCACCTAGGCTAAGTATGAAACCTGTAAAGCAATGACAATGAACTATAAAGCTGCTTTGATGAAGTAGCAGGAATTCCCCTCAGGAGGGAGAATTTCAATGAGACACATAGAGCCAATTTCTGCATGGGTCTCCCACTAACATAGTGAGTGTTTTGGAGTATGCCTCGCTGGGGAAGGGTTATGGCTGGAGTACTGCTATCCATAGGATGGTTTGGGATGGTTGCCCTGTGCTGTGGCATGCCCTATGGCAGCTATCTCAACTGTCCTGTAGAAAGGATGGTCCCCCATATTATTAGCCATGATGTATTTCATGTGTGGGAGAAGCTCCCCATAGATATCTGCAAAGCTATCTTCAAATCCCTTCTTAAAACTTTCTGGTTATAACACCAACAGAAAACTTGACAATGATTAGGCTGTTGGTGTGTTGAGATGACTGCTTAGCATGTTGATAACTACAATCTCATTATGTCCTTGTACCTTCTCCCCATTTATATCTCTTATGTTATACTTAAATTAAAAATTATTTGTGCAATGAGTGTCATCTTGTTTTCTGTTTGTGTAGCACCTACCATTAGGTGGAGTTTTAGGAGCTACTAGATTACTAAGTCACCACACTGCATCCCTGATTTTACCTTTATTTACTTTGGTGTTAGCCAAAACTGGGCTTTAAAGTTTTTTGTGCTATTGTCAGCTGGATCCAGTTTTGTTTTTTCATGTGAAATGCATGCAAACAATAAATGCGTATGTACAAAAGATATTACATGTTAAATAACATGTATTTGTGTAAATGTGTAACCACTGGATTTTTTAACAGTTAAATGTTTACACACGAGGGGAAGGCAAGTGCCTCTTCCCTGTGCTACTGTTTTTCTGAGAGGCAGCTAGGGAAGGGGAGTGCATGTAATTGTTAGGATTAACCAATTAGTCCAGGCTTAACTGTTAAGCCAAAATGACTGCTTGCTAGGTATTTGAAAGACTAGTCATTCCCCCTCCCCCACTTGCTGCCTCTATCAGAAAGAGGCAGCATGGGAGGGGAAAGAAGGAAGTACTTCAAAGCGACAGTTCCGTGTGGGGCCTGGCCCCAGGCTGCATGTGGTGTTTCAAAGTGGCAGTGCTGCATGGAGCCTGAGGTTAGTGGGGGGGTCCACAGCTGACCCCGGGCTCCACGTGGCACTGCCGCTTTGAAACACTGCGGGGAGCACGGGTTCAGCGGGGGACTGCTCTGTGCTCCACATAGCACTTTTGCCTTTGATGTGTAGCTTTTGCTACACTACAAAGGCAGAGGTGCCCATCAATTAATTGAATAGTCAATGCAAATTGCATTGACTGTTTGATTAGTCAATTACTTGAAATTTAATATCCCTACTGCATACTGACATCCTATTATGTAGAGGGGTCTTACTTTAAGTGAAATATTTTGAAAGTTCTCCTTCATTATTAGGTAACTAGCCAATTAGCCTGTCATAAAATGGGATTTTCAGGTCTCTCCTCCACGTCGGTCTTCTCTCCTGAGGCTCCGGTCTCTCGCTCCATCTCTCTCTCCCCTCCTCCTGCTGCCTCCCCCCTCCCTCTCAGCTCTCCTTTGCCCTCTGCCTCTCTCTCTGTCTCTCTCTTTCTCTTCTCCCCCTCCTGCCTCTCACTCTCATCCAAAGGGCTGCTCCCTGTGCTGCATGGGGAGCGTGGAGCCCAAACGGTTGCTTGTGCCACTTGCTCCCATGCAACGGTCTGGTTGAGTGGTGCAGACATTCATGGCCATGGGGTGGGGCCTGGAGCCGCTGGCACGCCGCCCTTTCCCCTCCCTCCGTGGCGCTCGGCTGACTTCTGCACCGCTCAGCCAGGCCGCCGCGGGGGAACAAGCGGCCGTTTGGGCCCCGCACTCCCCATGCAGCATGGGCTGCCCTGAGGGAACAGCCAGCATTTCAGCAATAGCGCCACCCAGAGGAAACAGCCAGCATTTTAGGCAACAGCACCGCCCAGACTCTGACACTGGGCTACTATATATATGATGCCAGTTGTTGTTTATGATGCATAGCAAACCTAGTTTTCATCAGTGTGATACTTCTTACGTGCAGAATATTTTTTAGTAGTAAAAGGATTTTTTTTGCAGAAAATAAGGTATTTCTACATATTCTACTTCCTTTTTCCTCTTCCTGTGAGAGTTGGGCTCTTTTTATTTATTATGCCAGAAAATGGCTGTAAAACAGCTAATTTTCAAATTCCTGCTTCAGAAGCTATCTTCTATAAATTGTATGTATGAGTGTACTGTATTATCCATTTTTAGTGTTATGATAGAAATTATCTTGGCTTTCCGTGCTACCTAAAGTGAAGCAAAATAAATCTATATTTGTGTTTTTTCTCTAGGGTCATGATGAAGAAGCTGTTGTGGATATGGGCAAAACTAGCTCTACTATCAACACAAACTTTGAGAGAGAAGAACTAGAGAGTAAGTGTTAAAAATCTTACTACTTTACAGTATTAGTTCTGTTTCTCTTCAATGCACTATGTAGCTCTGATTAATGTGCATGAATATGGAGAGCAGTCATTGACTACACTATAAAATTCGAAGTATGACTTTAAGCTCAACAAGCTTCTATATCCTTTTTCTTCATTCAGTACATTGCTTAGTGTTACCCTTTTTTTTAAAAGAAATCTTTCCTTACATGGTGGTTTTTGTGGGTGGAGGTGGGAGTGGGGAGGGGGGGGTTAAGAAAACCACGTTAGTGTTGAAATCATAGATTAGATTGAGTTCTCCAGGCCAGGGACCAAGGTTTGGAAAAAAATCTGATCATAATTGGTTAGTAGGATGAGTGCTGGCAACACTTGCAGATTCTAATCTTTGATATTTTTTTTTTCCTCCCGTGGCTGTAAATAAACCCTTCATCAGTTTATACCCTATTCATGTGTTGGAATCCTGTCTTCTCAAGACTGCAGAGTGGTCCAGTGCTGCTGCTCATCAATTTTATTTGTGGCAGAACAAAAACTGTATGAAATCTTGTTAGTTTCCCTGGCTGTACTTCACAATCCTGGATGTAGAAGCAAAATCAGCAAGGTTTTGGGTCAGGTTCATGCTGCTGCTTGAAAAAGCTGTGAACGTTATTAGAGAAGGATGATGTTGGATCTGTTATTTAGTACCTTAGTGGTCTGAAAGAGGGAATAAATAGAATGGCAATAAGTTGCATTTGCTGCCAATACAAATCAGGTAAAAATGCAAACGCTAGATGGACTACACACATAGACAGAAAAATATTGTGATTTAGTTTAGAGGAAGGATAATAAAACCAATTATTGGATAATCAGTGGTAAGGGAAGACTAGAAAGCAGTAATACTGAAGGAGACTTGGGGATGAAAGAATGCACATTAAGCCCATGTTTGTAATATGGCTTGAAACTAGAGGTCATTTTAATTTAGATCTGGATACAAGATCACTTTCTCTTTATCTTCCTTCTCTTTATCTTCCTTCTGTTCTGGCATTTTCCTATCTCTACCACCCTACCAAAGATGAGGAAAGATAAATGACTTAGAGTAGAAGGCTTGGGTGTCTGGGTTCTATTTTAGTCTCTACCACAGACTTTCTGCCTATATGACCTTTAGAAGATTGTTTAACATCTGAATCTTTCTTTATCGCAAAATGGGAATAATACTTGCTCACTTTATAAGGCTTTGAGTGTTATGAGGATTAATAAATGTTTGCAAGGTGCTTTGCGATCCTTATAAAAGTGAAAGTATTTTCCCAAAGAGCATCACTGTTTCTTCATTGCCTCACTCAGAACTGCTAGACCAGCTGACTTGCCACCATACTGCATGGAGGAAACAGATTTAAAATTGCTATTCCCTTTAATCTCTTATTGGTGTATTTGGCTATATAAATAAATGGGGCAGAGTTCAGGCCAATGTGGAATAAGACCCCTTTTCTTCAGTAGAGAAAGTAACATCTAGTGACCACTGGGCTGGTGGAGGAGCTCTGAATTTCCTTCTGCATGTAAGTCAAAGATATATGGGTGAGCTGGGATAGAACACTATTTGTGTGTCTTGAAATAGGTTTCTCCTGCTTGTCGGAGAGGATATAGAATTGAAGTGAATTTTGAAAACTGCACAATCACAGGGATTCTTCTTCAAGTACTTGCTCATGTTAATTCCATTTTAGGTGCGTGTGCACCCATGTGCATAGTTACTCAAAATCATTTGCAGGCATCTGTAAGTTCTTGAGAGGCTTGTTCAGGCAATGCAGGCCTGGGATGGGTCTAAGACCCTCTTTTTCCTTGGGAATTAGGAATTAGCTGGAGTAGAATCCTCTGCCCTCAATGTTCCATGGGACTTTTTCCTTTGCTCCCAGGCAAAGGAGGTTTTTGACTTCCTGAATGAAGAGTTGCTCATGAGAGGGGTCCCTGATGAGAGAGGGGGGGATGGAGGGCATGGTTAGCCAAAACTGCCAGGGGTAACCTGAAGAAACTGTATCTAGCACCGAGTAGTCCAAAGTGGGCGACTGGAAAGGGTGAAGGTGGTTGAGGAAAGGGATGATTATATCCAACGAACTGGCTGGTGTGCTGTCCTTGAGTGAATTCTAAAAATGATTGCTTATGGCCTCTCTGACATCTGGGACAATCAAGTTGAGCAGCCAGACAGGAGGAAGTGATCATATCCTAGGCCCCTTGTCTTTTTCCTTTCCCTTATAGAAGCCAGCTCTGGGATCCCCTCAGGACCTAGGTTGCGACCAGAGGTGAGGTGCAGGTGGGGAGTAGAAGGAGGTTGGAATGGCTTCCTGAACTACTGAGGGTCTGCATGCCCAAGGAGCAGGGAGTGATTTGAGCCCATGGAGTCTAGAGTCAGTCAACTCAGAGAATAGCCCCCCAAACCCTCAGCTGGGAGCTCCTGGGACAGCCCAGAAGCCTGCAACCAGAAGTTTTGTCTCATGGTCACTTCAATGCAACCATCCTGGCCACCAAGTCTGTCTCAGCCCAGGTGATTTGGAGGACTCCCCAAGCCACTGCTATATCGTTGCTCACCAATGCAGCAAACTCTTGCACACGATCCTATGGGAAGACCTCCATGAAGTTGAAGTTTCATATGGTCTCCCTAGCCTCCATCATTCCCTCCCTGGATCTGGGAGACATTGAAGGATGCGTATTTCCATATTTCAGTCTTCATGGGACACTAGAGCTTTCTCCATTTTACATTGGACGGGTGTCATTTCCAGTTTACAGTGATGCCCTTTTGTCTCTCGTTGGTTCCAAGACCACTCATAAAATGTAAAGTGCTTGTGACCACACACCTAGGACATTGAGGAATCCAGAAATACTCAGACCTTGATGACTGGCTGATAAAGGGAAGATCCTACATGTGTAGAAGCCTCTCAAGCTGGTACATTCCACAGTTCAATGTGGTAAAATACTAAATGGGGGTTTAGTGGAATTGTCGGTGGTATATGGGCAGCACTCTTACAAAATATTGGATACTTAATCTTATTTGTCTTGCTGGAGAAATTTCTTTCCTCAGGTACATTAAGTAGTATCCTTAATGCAAATACAGAACATCCCATAAATAAATGTTGTAAAATTCATAACTATTTTTGTGCCATGTATGAAGTTCTTGGAATTTGGAGCACTTCCAGAAAAGTGTTAATTCACTTGAAATATGCTTGCTGTATTACAGCCTCCATCTCTTCTCTTCCCCCCCGCCCCCCCTTCCCGGCTAAACAAGCATTCATTGCTTTTATGTCCAGGTTACTCTACTGCCATCTGAAGCCCTAATTTTGGTATTTAACAAGGGAAGAAGCTCCAAACAAACTGTCTGTGGGGCTGATACTAATTCTGTGGTGTCAACACAGTGTCTTCTACATTGTCGGTTACTCACTGCTCTTAGTACCACAGATTTGTATGCAGCTTATGGAGAGAGAAAAAGCAATGTAAAAAGATGCATCGGTGGAGTGGGGAAGGACATGGAGTGGCTTGTATAAACTGACTTAGATTAGAAGATGTGCACGTGGTTTCCTAAGTGATAGCAATGTTCAAGTTCAAAAATTGCCAACACAATTTATGTATTTAGTAACTTTGTCTATCCCAGTATTTTAAAGAATCTGCACTAGTTCAGTTCACTAACGGAAGCAGTTGTGTGCGCAATAGGTCACAAACATTACCAGTGTTCTCTAGATCTACTCAACTATGGTTAAACAACATAATGACAAAAATAAAAGCCAAGTGTTACCTTTTCAAGACTTTTGCAATATATATTCATACCTAGCATAATAATGCCCTTCTACTGACCAGTGTTGTTGTATTACTACTATAAAATAACAGATTATTTTTCAAGTTGTGTCCCTGGTGTTCCACTGTGGGAGTGTTTGCACCCTCACACACTGGCACCTTGGAGAATTTTAAAAGCACTCTGTCCTACCTGTGCATACATGCCTCCCCACCTGCTATGAGGCTAGCCCGCATGCATGGCCATTTCCTTCTCAGCTCCTTCTCAAACATTCTTGACTAGAGACTGAGCTAAGAGCTGTTAGTTCATGGATTTTTAACTCCCTGTAGTTTTGCAAATTTTGCTTTCCTTGCAGCCTTTTTCTTTTAGTACCTAAAACCATTTAAA